TGTTTGTTGGGGTTCCTGTGGTACAGTAGAAACTGAAGCAGGATTCCTGTGTAATTTCACAACGATGCCAACATGGCAGACAAGGGGGTTGTTATTCGTATTTTGTTCTTTAACTTTAATCACGATGTTAACAAACAAGGTATGACGTAATAAGCCATTTAAAGTAATTTTTCTTTGCTTTTTCATCTCCTAGTGTAGATACTACTGATTCATAATCTGGAGTACTTTACCAAATTGCTTTTTTTCCATTTAGTTCATTCGTTTTAGCTAGTTCGTGATTTTGCCTGTTGTTCATACACTTTGTTTCTTTACAGTATGTTCTATCAACACTGAAATTTACATACCCAACAATTTATCAAAGGTATATAAGTTTATTGAAAGATAGTAAAATTCAATACATGCCTGATTTAAGACTGAATATAATGTACCTGTTAACATTAGCTGGCAAACAGGTACAGTGGCTGTAGTTCTTTTGATCCTTCATGGTATTGGATATATACAACTGGACTTAACAGTTAACAGGTACAAAGATCAAATGATGTAAATTCGTTCAAGAGTCTTGAATGGGTGCTCCTTATCAGCTAGCTATTGTTTATTTTCCAGGAATATCATGATTGCCTGGTTTCCAGCAACTGTATACTTCACAGGAATGATCTACTCAGGTTCTGTTGCATTGTCAAAGCTGGTATGACACAGTACTGTGCAGAATTAGAGGATTGGTCATCGATTAGCATGTATCCATCCAGTTTTGGGTGCATGCAAGAGGTTGCTAAGTTGCACCAGGCGTAGCCTCTAGCTTCTTGAGTGCTTAAGCACCCGAACAAAACTTGATGGATTCACGCTAATCGATGACCAATGTTTTTATAACATAGCAAAAGCATAAAAAGTCTTTGTTAATCAAGAAATCTGCATTACGTAGTGCCTGCTACTCAACTGACATCAGCATGCACCATAAATTTTTAGATGCACAATTGTGCATGCTAATTAACCAATCAAAGCGCTCACTATATATATCATGGCTATGCTATAGTTTTCCATATATTATTATATCATTGTATTTATTTAATAATTCTTCCCTTTTCTTTCTCCTAGCCTATACCAGTATTCTGTGTTCTACATTACATGACATTTATGTGGGTCTCATTAATAGAAACAATTCTGCACAAAAAAGTAAGAAACAAATATCCAAATATGTGTAAAAAACTTCCCATACTTTTTTTCTTAAAGTTTGTACATTGATTGCTTATCTAATTGCCCTATTTCACTATGACGTCACTGCTTGTTTATGTGGGGGATAGAAATGCCAAATCCAATAGAAAATTCAACAAAATTTGCTCCTAGTGAAACAGTTTAATCTAAAATGGCCTGGTTTTCAGATATAATATGTTTTAATATTTACTAAAAAATATTCTGAGCGTTTGCTGGCTATTTTACTTTTCTTCGTGGATTGATACAGGTTTTAGAACAATTTGACCCCCCTCCGATGACCATGATCCTTTGCGTTTAAACAATAGATTGTTTTGATATGATGTCATAGTGAAATAGGGCAATTCTAATAGGCCCTTTGCAGTTAACGGTCACTAGCTACTTGTAAAGAACTGAATGAAACGATGTGTAACCAGTGTGTTACAAAATGCCCTTTTATTACGATCTCTCAAAACAGGTTGTAGAAAGTTTGTTTGCTCACCAGTATATTTCACCCATGGGAATCGAGATGTTCATTCATTTGTTCTCAGTGAATTAATCAGTACATAATTACTGAGGTGCAAAGGGCCTATTGTTTGTAAATCTCTCTATTGACTAACCTGCCATGTATTAAATGTTCTTTATAACTGTTTACTGCATGCATGCATGCACATCCATTTTATTTTTCTTGAATAACTGCACTATAGCTAAGTGGTTAAGAAATAAGGACCTGATCCCTGTTAATACTGATTGGCTTTATTTCTAATTATGCATTAGACATGCTTAAATATTGCTGAAAAAAATCTATTATTATATCATTTTTAGCTTGGTGATCATTATAAGATCCTTAAGAATCAAATTCTGTTCTTTTTTAGGCATTGCAGGTTCTCCCAACTCTCTGGTAAGAAATTAGTTTGTCTGTAAGGCATGTCTTGTTATCCAAATAAGATGGAAAAGATATTGATATTCAGTAAGGATTAATTTATTCTTATGATTTCAAGTCTAGCTCTTGTTGGCTTGTCATCTGTTATCATTGCAAGATCAGATCCTCAGGTAGGTGGTGTTATTATACATTTTATTTAATAGCTTTTTGGGAATAACACAGACCTCAGCCTTGCTCATCACTGATTATCATGCTCAGTGAGTCTTATCCATTAATTGTTTATCAAAACTATTATCAGTTACATTAAAGTATTTAGTGAAAAATTAAACCTACAGCCAGTATGGTCTATTAATAGCAATTAGTCCTCTTCAGCCCTAATGGACTATGAGTCAATAGCTCTTGAGGTCAAAGACCGAAAGAGCTATTGACTCATAGGCCATGAGGCTAAGAGGATTAATTGTTTTAGTCAAATCCAACTTAGTTGATCAAATATCAAGATGCAAACAAATTTTTAATTAAAAGTAAATTTAATGTTTTGGTTTTCTAAGCTGGCTTTTTTGCTACTAGTTGTAGGCTATAACTTATTGCTAGTATTAGATCATCCATTTAGAATGCAGCATTGATGATAGAACACTAGTTGGGTTTGACTAAAAGCCAATTATAGTTCATGAGGCCAAAAGCAGAATTAATTCATAGAGAATAAGGATAAGAGGGCTAATTGTTTATATTAGTATAAATCAAGTTATCAAATAAATAAAAACAAACAATTTTGAAATTAGGTTGAAATAATTTATTTTTTGTATTGTTTTGGTTTTCAAAACCAGCACTTTTCACTGCTAGTGGTCTGTTACAAATAGACCACTAGTAACTCAACAATAATTCAGAATTCGTGATAGGCCATTTGTAGATTTACACTAATTTTGATTAAATACGTCTTTATAGTTTAACCGTATTGGCTACACATGGATGATATTGCATTGTATCTTTGCTGGTAGGTTGATATTATTAAAATTAAAGCTGATGGTTCTATTCTAAACATGATCGTGTGAATTTTGTTAATATTCAATTTAAAGGAATGTACCTGTATACAGAAAATTCTCTCAAATCTTTAAAATTGAGGTATGAATCATTGTCAAATTTATTAGAATCTCCATAAAAATGCAAAGTTAGCCTGTTAATCTTCTCAATACCCTTGGATAGATATAGTGTATGTGATTGTATTTTATGTTAATAAGATGTCGTTTTTTAACAGGGAAATAAACAAAATATTTTACAACACTATATCCAGGTAAGTTTTTTTAAATTTCTTTATTATCAAAAACCTATTAAATATTGGGCTACTTTTGCTTTTTATTCATTTATGAGTCCCTAATTTAAATTAACTAAAGACATTAAAAGAGGACCAGGAGTTTATCAGTTGAATTACTGTCAAGTGTTTATCTTCTCAGTATAAACAAAGTTATTTATTGAAAATTGAAAAAATTGATTGAACTTCTTTCATTGCAGCATCATAATTTTAATGGCTGTGTGTGTTGGTACAGGTATTGATATTCCATCACTATAATTGCTGTTACTAGTTTTGAAATCTAAGAAAAGACACAACACATTAGGTTTTGCAGACATGTTTCAGCACTATCCTGTGCCTTCATCAGACATTAATTAGTATATGTAGTATATATAATTGGAACACAAAATACTCTTAGGGCTTAACCTTTTTGCATAACTTTACTATACAAATGCCAGGCTTCCTATAATTGATTGGATAATAAAGCGTTGAAGCATTGAAGCGTCTTTTTTTTGTTTTAAATGTATAGTTTCACTTAATAAATTTTAAGAACATTTTATCCGTTTAATTTTATCTTCAGATGATAACATATTTCCATAGCCTGGGAAAACAGACGCCCTTTCATTCTCCGTTCCCCTGTTGTTTCTCCTCAGGTTAATGTTTTCAATATTCTTTTGCTAATAGGTTATGTAAAAAAATAAGTCCTAATAAGTCCTAAAAAATAAGTCCTAATGTAGCTCTTTTTTGATTACAGGGGAACTGTATAAAGTACTAGAATTTCCATTCCTGTATACCAGAACATTTCATATTGGCTGCCTAGTGAGGTAATTATTATCTTTACCGGGAATTTATATTCATTTCAACTTCGCAAACTAAGGTAAAAAAGGATGGCACGGTAAAAAAAACGTTTTCAATTTTACCAAAAATCTTGGCATATAAAACGCTTGCCTCTCACCTCTGAGGTCTGGGCTTCAAATCCCAGTCACCCCATGTGAGCTGAGTTGGTTGGTTCTCTTTCTGACTCTGAGGGTTTTTCCGGTCCTCCAGCTTTTTGGCCTACCTCCTCTCAAATCAACCCTTACTTCAACATGTTTAGAGCTGTGCTCCGGGGTCAACCCCGTTGAGCTGTGCCACTGCTATACTTGTGTTGGTGATAAGCGATGAGAACTTTTTTGTTGTTGTTGTGATAGTTCATCTAAAACAAGGAATTCAAAAATGGAGGTCTAGCGTAAAAATGTCTGTCAAATTTATTTACTTTTAGTGGATTATTTGGTGCAGTGCTTAGTATTCAAGGAACTGTAATTGCAAACACTGAGTACAAATTGTCCTTACCGACTATCAGTTGTATCAACAAGGTATGTATTGTTTTAGTATTTTTCTTGGGTTACTGGTTTGTCCAATAGAAGAAGGGAGGTTTCAATAGAACCCGTTTAGCAAAGGGCCATTTGGGCATAACAGACGCTGCAACATTCCTCTCCAACAAAAATCTTGCGCTTCCATGACCGGAGTGGCAAGAATTAATCGTTGTGTGTTATCAGTAGCTATGTCAGTATCAATATATTCCCACTAACTTTGTCTATCCTGAAACATGGTTTTAGATTCTTCTTTCGAGTCTGTCTCTTTTGGTCTTTCAAGCAGGCTATACGATCAGTATGGCGTTAAGGTCAGTAATGAATTGCTTTTCAGTGATTGGACATAACTTATTCTAGAATTTCAAAATATAGCATTATAAATCAATTGTTATCTTTTTCTCTTTCAAGCATCATGGTTGGGCTTTTGGTTGGACTTATTTATTGTAACACATTATCAAATGAGGATCCTGTGGTAGATCCTCAACATTTGCACGTCACTGTGGATTGATTATGGATGAAACCAGGGAGTTGGGAGGGAGACCTCTTTTTAGCCAATTAGAACCCTCCATTTTCGATAATTTTTTTCCACCTTCATCTCCCTCCCACCTCCCCTATGAAACAGGCTATTACAGCATAAGAAGAAGCTGAGTGGATCGACAATTGAAAACTTGTAATTTAATACGACAAAAGAGAATTAAACAGGCTTCATCTCCAGAGCTTCAACTCCAAATAATTTTATTTGTAAATAAATAGAGCTGTCGAACATATATTGAAATGCAGGATATATATGGACATGCATTTTGAATCCTTTTAAATCTTGAAACATGATTCAAATTTTAAAACGATATTACCTGCAGAGAAGTAAAAAAATATAAATTATGTATACCACATTCATGTTCGTTGATAAAGTTAGGATAAGTTCTCGTTATCAATGTAAATACCCGGAAACTTTCTTTTTCTATTTGTTGTTAGTCTTTCGTTATTGAGAAACTGTTGAATTTGTTTGATTTGTTGGCCCACTTCATGACATTTCATTACAGTTTGTCCTTCATCCTCATCATCAGAAAAGAGCTCTTGAACATCACTGTTACCATTTGTATTGCATTTATTATTTCCACTATTTACATCACTCTTGTCCTTGATATGTTCGTCACATGATTTAGAAAGGCTAGCTCCTCTGTCGTTGCTTGATGGCATCATATAGGTTAGTTTTGGTTCCGTAAGCGCTTCTATTTCTCCAAAACAAGACTTTTGTTCCTCTTTATTGGGGTCCTCCCGCATCTGGTCCACAGTTTGATGAATACTCGTCGAATTTGGTACTCCTGGGAACCCCATCTTTGGTTTCAAGTTCCTCTCTAGTAAAAGTGATTCGTTTTTGTCGCTTTCTAATTCGTCTTTGTCTAAACTCAGCAAGACATTAGCCAATGATTCGCTTGTTGGTAAGTTGAACCGTAACTTCTTGTAAACAAGAGGACTGATTCCTTCGTTGAGAGATTTATCACGGAGACAACTTTTTAAAGTATAGGTATTGACTACCAATGAGGTTGTAGTTTGGCTGGTTTGTTTAAATTTTCCTTTTCCTTCTTCCCCTGCTGGGGTTTGACTGAGAAGAGGCAACAATGAAGAAGCTGAACTGGCTTGAAATGTCATGGAGCACTTGTCAATGATATCCTGAAGCAAAAATAAAGATACGAATTATCCTTAATTTATATACTACTATTTCTGACTTAAAAACTGAAGGAAGGATCTTTAGCGGCCGAAAATCCTGACTGCCATTTTAGATCATTTTACCAAATGTACAGTATTGCCGATGCAGTCGCATCTTTCATACACCTGGGTCTTGCCCACCTAACTTTCTTATACAAATAATTACCTTTCTTGTTTCCACCGACATTTGCTCTTTGTTATCCCTCACAAAGGACTCGGATGAGGAAGAAGTTGTTAGGAACGGTTGTTTAGTCTTTTCCATTTCACAGCTGACATCTTCGGTGGAAACGCCAATTTTAGTACTTTTGGTAATATGTTCTGTGTTTTCTGTTGATTCAACGAACTTAATCGTATTATTGTGAACATTTAGTGTGTCCTACTTCCTGTAGTACTTCTTCTCTAGATTCCATATTGGACCTTTTTACTGATACGCCGATCATCTTGAATTATGGGATGCCTAGGGATAATTTATAAAGCATAGAGTGGCGTGGTTACGCCGGTTTTCAAATAATTGGAACCTTTGGTGTTTCGTATGTTTTTCCAATTACCATCAAGTTCTATTGCTTTTATATGTGCTTCTCATTGGAAAGCGTAAAGTGATATAAAAAGACACCCTAAATTTTTTYCCAATAGTTGCCCCTTGGCATCCCATATAATGTAAGTTCAAGATGATCGTCGGATCGGTGAAAAGGTCTATTGATTCCTTAGGGAAGCATTGGTGGCGTAGCAGTGAGCTCGCGGTGTTGTATGTGAGTTGAGTTGTTGGTTTTCTCTCCAATGCTTCGAGGGTTTTCCGGGTTCTCCGGCTTTTTTCCCTCCGAGAAAATYAATTTCTAAATTCCAATTGCAATTTAGTGGAGGAAGATCCGCTCTGTGGAATCCACTGCAAATCCACTTACCGTTATCGGCAACAGCAGTGATACTGTCGTTAGCTAGAACAGAATAACTACCGCTGCTGATCATTCCTTCAGCTTCCCCCACCAGATTTACACTCCTTGTGTCATCAAAAGCTCCAGTAGTATCAGCGTTATTACTTCTATTGACAATAGATTCTGCAGAGGGTGTTGGCAAATTCACGTTCTCTATACCATCAACAGTATTTGCCGTTACGCCTGGGGAAATGTCTCCTTTTAAGAGCTCTGCTTTAAGTTCGTCTTTATTTCTGGCACCTTAAGCAAACAAATAATATAAAGTACAAGACCAATTTTGAAACGGTTCGCTGAGTCAGCTACTTTGCTGCATGTTGGAGAAGGAAACACAAATTCATAATTTTTATTACGTAGCACCGCTGAATATATTACTAAACACACTAATGATTTTTAGTTGTGTGCCATGTTACTATAGACTTCTGGGGCATGCAAGCATTTGGGCGAGGAATTTTTTTCACAATTAAAGAAATCAGTCCTTCAAAAAGAAAAATGAAAATGCAGATATCAGAAGAACACTAACTTTCGATATTATCCGTATTTTCCTCTTTTTGCTGCACCTGTGGATGGTAAAAGCAAAAAGGCATGTTACAACGCAAACCAAAGAAGTGGCTGATTTTTTCTAGAGCTATAATTCCGTATAACATCGCTAGTAACAAATCTGACATGATGCCTGGAGAAATGCAGAAATGCCGATGTGCTTTATCATCGATTGACGAAGTATGAGGAAGATCTACTATATAAAGGTATTACTTACGTGTGAGTACTCATCAGTTTGTGTTACTTGAGAATTTCGATTAGTTTCATTGTGTTTAATTTTGTTCGTTATTTCGGTCAAATTAGCTTGTAAATCCTCTGCCTTTCGTTCTGTAGCTGCAAACTTTTCTTTCCAATATTTGGCGGAATTTGATTCTTCCAAAACCTGRAGTCTGGTCTTTGCTATCTGTTTTTGCAGCTCAAGTATCTTTCAAATGTAAAAATAAAACAAAATAATTAGAGCTACTCTTGCTCGTTAATGTATGTTTTGCTTATTTGATAAACCTGATACCCAGCCGGTTGCTCTACTGATAGTAGTAGAACAAATCCGTAATTTAAAGTAGAGTTATATAGAGTTATAAGGAGAAACCGCCTTAGCTAGTTCGCTGAAATAGGAGTCCGCACAACGCACTAKCCTTCTTGCAGGGTAGACTTGCACAAAATTAAATACTCTTCGAATTTTCTCCGATCTCGACAAACTAAATAAAGAAACATATGAGCACGACTGAGCAAAAAAGCTTTCCCAATGTCGTAAAAATTTGTTCTAAWCAAAAGGTAATAAACTTATTAATTAATGATACAAGTGTCTATTGTTCTADCACTTTCGCACTAATTGGGGACACTTTTCACTCACACACCCTACCAATACATTCCTAAATGTTCTATGCACACAACTCCTATCTCACATGTTGATTTTTACGTATGGAGGAAACTGGAGAATCCGGATAAAACCCTCGAAGCATATATAGCTAGTCACTTAGCTAAATAATAGAAAAAAATATCAGTCCAGCGTATACCTGGTTTTGATAGTCTTCTTCCATATTTTCTCTCTGTAATGATGAATCTGCCAATGCTTGAGACTTCTCTTTTTCACTGCATATCAATTTCTCCATTTCTTTTTTTATTTCCTCTGTGTGTTGGCCAAGTTTGCAGTTGTTATCTTCTAGCGTGTTATGCGCATGTGTCAGTGCTTCATAACGTGATTTAATGTCAACAAGTTCTTTGTCTTTTTCTTCTTTCTACTCGAAAGAAAATACATTTTTTGGAATGTGACATGGCTAGAGCTAAATTACTGATAGCCCGGAGATATTTCCTAAGAAATACCAACSAACGCATTCAGTCGAATTCACACACCTCTTTGTTCCATGCCCTGAATTTTTCCGCAGTCTCGAGTTGCATTGTTTCATTGGACTTCCTCAGTTCCACCATTTCCTTTTTTAAGTTTTCACACTCGGAATTTGCTTCATCTAACTCGAACTGGGCTAATGATTCTAACTCGCAGTGTTTGTTAGCTATGCCCACATGTCTGTCGACCAAATTTTGTGCTTCCTTCAATGAATCTATTAAATTCTGTGAAACCAAAGGAAAAAAATTAATGCAGATAAACGGAGTAGATAAAATCGGATTGGATMGGTCCGGAAAAAAACGCCGGAAACGAAGATTGTGCAGAGCCAACTCTTTTATATATATGAAGTTACCTTATTCTCTTTTCGAGCTTCGTTAAGTTGACTTTGAAGGTGACGGCAGACTTCTGCTTGCTTGATAATGGTGAACAAAAAAGTTTATTATTCCAGACCAGGATTATTACGGTGCATATGTTTCGATCCGATAAAATGTACATTGTCTGTCCACTAACACGAAGCCGGTAGCAAAACTTACCATTTTWAATTCCATTTCATTTTGCTCACTGTTACGCCCATTGTCTTCAGCAGTTCTTAGTGATGCTTTTAGATTTTCGACTAATATCTTTAAACTAGCCAGCTCATGTTGCTTACACTCCAGCCCTTGTTTGTATGAATTCAGTTGACAGTTTTGATGCTCATTATAGTAACAAAGTTTTTTGTGCAACCGAACAGCTGCTCCAACTGGCCAAAAAAAGAACAAAAAAAACAAACAAACAAACAAACAAAACTGACTGACACAACAGATAAAATCCATTTAAGCGGACGCCAATTTCAGAAGTGGCATTAATGAATATCTTGCTTGTTTAAGGTGGCTCGACCCCCTCACGCTTGACCGCTACCTTCCACTTTTGGAACGCTAGTGCATAAACGTCTTTTATCCGATTGCAAATCTTTTTTGCACATAAGTCACATAAAGATTGAATTAATATTTGATGCAGTTTTTAGTGAGATCGGACGTCATAACACGTGATTATGATGAAATATTTGTTTTCGTTTAGAAAATAAATTTAGCCTTGCAGAGCGTTCAACACTAAAATGCTTCGTAACACATAATTATATACTAGATGCCTCCATTTGTGGGGATTTTTGAAAAAATCTATCTAGCTAATAATGAGATATTTGAGATT